AACATTAAAGCATGTAAACATGTCACAGTAGAAGCACAAAAAACATATGAACCTGAAAATGAGCTATTAGCTATAGACTTTATTCAAATGGACACAGCTTTCTTTTGATTGTATACTACTGTATATAGCTTGTCTTAATGTTGTTGACTGCCTTGTTGCAACCCTGGCTGACATTAGCAGGTGCATTAGCATCATATTGCTTAAGAATTAGACTTCTTACTATCTAGCAAAACGTTTTATATATGGTTTAGTTTGTGTTACTGTTGGAACAGAAGGACATTTTAAAACTTTAACACATTTCCACTGTTACAAAAAGCGATAGATTTGAAGCGAATGGATGAAACAATCAAACAAAAATGGTACCTTGACAAATTGGTAGGCTATTGTGTTTGCTGCCTGACTAACAGCTGTGTCTCTGATTTATTTCAGATTATTTCCAAAGACAAACTAAATGCTGACAAGTGATGTATTGTTCTTAACAAAAAAACATCCTAACCCGTCTCCTCGTTAGTCTGAGCGAAAATGTTCAAAACTGCTGAGAAGAGAGTTTCCCACACATTTTCTGTCAACTTTAGTTTGTTCTGAGTTCACATTATCACATTACCCAGTCTCTGTACATTTTAGAAATCAGCTAAACCACAACTTGAAAAGTACACACACACACACTCACGTCATAATGTTAATACTGTATGACACCACAGTTGAGGTTAGCAAAGATCATATACAGATTGGTGTAGCTAGTCCTCTCCTAAGCAAGTTCAAATATTCAGGGATTTTGAATCCCAGCTGATCGGAAATATGTTGGCGGAGAGAAAATACCTTTGCTTTAACCATGAATATTTAAGTGCAAAGAGAGCTGGAGATTATTCCAGAGAAGTGGGGCTCATTGGGAACAGGCTGGACCACCAGAAGAGTTCTTATTAAAGTGAGGACTGGATAATTAACCAGCATCAAGGGAACATAAAGGGAGAGAAGGAGTCTATGGGGAAATAAGGCCTGAGATATATGTATTAGGGGCCTAATCCAATTAAGGCCCTATGGGTAAGAAGGAGGGTTTTTTAATCAGCTCTCATGTCATATAAGGCCCTTGAAACCTCCCCCATTCGTCTACTTCTATAGTTCGAATAACAATACCGAAAATACAGCCGTTGGTTTAGCTTGACTTTAAACTAATTCAAATCAATTCTTATATTCACCAAAATTGCAGGTACTATCATAAAACATAATGGTGATAAGTGAAGTGGGACACCCAGAAAAGCTATCTGAAGCTTGAGAATAGGGACCAGGCAATAAAAAGAACGGAGTGTCTATTTGTGAAAATAGCATTGTTAGCTACAGACACCCAGGTGTAAATAGCATTGTTAGCTACAGACACCCGGGTGTAAATAGCATTGTTAGCTACAGACACCCGGGTTTAAATAGCATTGTTAGCTACAGACACCCGGGTGTAAATAGCATTGTTAGCTACAGACACCCGGGTTTAAATAGCATTGTTAGCTACGTACACCCGGGTTTAAATAGCATTGTTAGCTCCAGACACCCGGGTGTAAATAGCATCTGCCTAAAAGAAAGTATTAACAATGGATCTTACTAGAATTGGGAAGAGTTTAAACATTAAACAGAAACATTTTCAAGCAAAAAATTACCTAACGCACTAAGCAAATACCCTTAAGCCTAAATTAATCTAATCGTAAATGGTCCCAAAACATTTATTTCATTAGTCCAATCATTGGTTTAAAATAAGTAAGACCCAACAAACACAGAAACCTTATAAGGGAAAAAAAAGCTTCATATTAAATGTATTTCAGAGGAACTCTAACTCCTCATGCTCCAGATGTTAGACTAGGCAGTTGTGGAGAGAGAGAAACTCCCTCTGGAGGAATCTTTGGGATTTTAGCCTTTGAAGACCATTAACATGCACAAAAACCCAAACAGGAAAGAAAAAACCCTAAATAGCTTATTGAGGCCCCTTTAAGTAAAAGGTTACTTAAAGGTGGGGTAGGTAAGTTTGAGAAACCGGCTCGAGATACACTTTTTGTTATATTCCATGGAATGCTCTTAACATCCCGATAGCAATGAATATCTTAAGTGCTTTGACAAAAAATCCATTAAAAAATGTCATCTGTGGAAGCCGTAGTACTTTAAAAAGTACGACCAATCATGTTAGCCGGCCCGGCTAAAATAACTGGATGGCCTACCTGCCTGTCAGCCTTCCATCTGTGCACAAACTTATCTCGTGCCCTCATTGGTCATGTTCGCGTTCGTGTGTGTTGGAGGAGGGGCTCTGTAAGGAAGTGGCAGATCTCGAGCCGGTTTCTCCAAAATCACCTACCCCACCTTTAAGTGAAAGTACATAAGTATTAATCTGCAAAATGTACTAGTATCAAAAGTACTCAGTATACAGAATGGGTCTTGTAAAAGTGTCTATATATATTCTATAGACTATTATAAGAGTGTTTTTAATGTTGTAATGTGTAGTTTAGTTGTGTTAAGGTCTCAAATCACATATGTAATTTACAATATTTCCCTCTGAGATGTAGTGGACTAGAAGCACCAAGTGGCAGAAATAGAAACACCGAAGTAAAGTACAAGTAACTTAAGATTATACTTAAGTACTTGCATTAGATGTACTTTGTTACAATCCGTCACAGTAAGTCACTTAAAACCTAATGCAGGAAAAAATCAATCAGACGATTCACTTTACTCGACCGCGATGCCTTTCCCCAGGTATCTGCTTTCTTCTTGTTCTTTAAGTCATTATTTGCGGAGAGCCGACTCTCCATGATGGCGCCAGAGAAGAAAGCTGTAAAGCCTTTCTTGAGACGGAGAGATAGACGGATAGACGTCTGGAGAGACAGGCGGGTAGGGAGGCAGGGAGACAGGCGGGTAGGGAGGCAGGTAGACAGGCGGTAGGGAGGCAGGGAGACAGGCGGGTAGGGAGGCAGGGAGACAGGCGGGTAGGGAGGCAGGGAGACAGGCGGGTAGGGAGGCAGGGAGACAGGCGGGTAGGGAGGCAGGGAGACAGGCGGTAGGGAGGCAGGGAGACAGGCGGTAGGGAGGCAGGGAGACAGGTGGGTAGGGAGGCAGGGAGACAGGCGGGTAGGGAGGCAGGGAGACAGGCGGGTAGGGAGACAGGGAGACAGGTGGGTGGGAGGCAGGGAGACAGGCGGGTAGGGAGGCAGGGAGACAGGCGGGTAGGGAGACAGGGAGACAGGTGGGTGGGAGGCAGGGAGACAGGCGGGTAGGGAGACAGGGAGACAGGTGGGTGGGAGGCAGGGAGACAGGCGGGTAGGGAGACAGAGAGACAGGCGGGTGGGAGGCAGGGAGACAGACAGCAATCACACTGCACAAACACGCAGAGGTCAACGCTATCACGGAAACGAGCGGGTTATTTCGTAGCATTTCATCATCATCATCTATCTCGGTCGCTTGCGCTCTCTCTCCCCCTTTCATGGCTGGGTTTCTCATTGATGACAAAGCCATTTATGTCTCTCTTATGTTCCCCCCCCCTCTCCCTCCTCTCCCCCCTCTCCCTCCTCCCCTACCCATCCCCTCACTGCCTCTCCTTTATTCTCCTTGCTATTTATGCTTCCTCTATTTATTTGTATTTTTTTGCACTTTCTTTTGTCTTTCATTCTCAATTTGCGTCTCCTTCTCTTTTTCTCCCTTCTTCGCCTCGCTCACATCTCGGCTATTTTTTCCTCCTGTCTCACCTCCTCTTCCTCCCCCCCCCCCGCTCTTTCTTACATCATTTTCTCTCTAAACACCTCCCCCCTCCTTCTCCTTTCCATTTTACCTTTCCTGTGATTTAAATTCACATCATCTTTCCATCTTTCCATCTCTCCATCTTTCCATCTCTCCTCTCTCACTCTGCCCCCCTCCTAACTTTGCTCGCCCTCTTCTACATGCTGTCTCACTCTCTTATCACCTCCCTTATTGTTCTCGATACGTCACCACTACTTTATTCTTTTAATAATAATAATAATAATAATAATAATAATACATTTAATTTATATAGCGCTTCTCATCTGCCAAGACAAATCTCGAAGCGCTTCACAACAAAGGACACTGATGCAATTTGAGAGATTAAACAAATAATAATAATAATACAAATTAAATAAAAATTAAATATTAAATATTAAATATTAAATAATTTTTTTTTTTTTTAAAGTCGGACATAGTGATACAAATGGCAGTATTACTCCAGGTGTTCCATGCTCAAAGTTTATTGGAAGGCCTTCCGAAAGAAGAGGGTCTTGAGGCCGGTTTTGAAGACCTCGGCATACTCTCCCAACGTGTGCTTTCACAATCCCCTGTTTTCCTTTCCTTAACTTTGTTCTGAAGCATATTTCCTCTCTTCTTTTCTCTTTTCTCATCTTTTCCTCAACTCTCCTTGTTCTCCACTGCCACACCTTTCCTTCCTTTCATCACTTTCCCGACAGTCTTCCATCTTTACTCCGTCAGTTCTATAATCTTCCTCCGTACATCATCTGATTTCTTTCTATCTATCCTCCATGGCCTTTTCCCTCTCCCATCTCTCCATCTCCTCCCTTTCTTAATCCTTACATCCTTTCATGTTTCCTTCTTCTCTCCTCTTGCTCCTCCCCCTTCTTTCTCTCCTGATTTATTCCTTATCCCACATGCGCTGCTCTCCTCCCCCTTCCCTCACACCCTAATTCTCCACCACTTTTCCTTCTTTCCTATCTATACTGTAACTTACACATATGCTTACTATATGCTATATCTTACGCCTCGTTTCCTCCTTTTCCTTCCAGTACATGTTTAAAATAAGAAAATCTATTGCAATATTTAAAAAAGCATATAAAATTGATTTAGCAGTATTAAAGTTATAACACTTTAAGGTAAAAAAAACCATTCACAATTAAAGCAAATAAATAGATTAAATCATGAAAAGACACTCCGGCAAATAATTCATTAAGCAGATCAATTATACATGTATATTTCTGATCATTAATATCCTCTTCCTCTCCTTCCCTCAGCGCTCAGAGATAACCGCATCCAGCTGCATTTCTCCTCTTCCACCGAGCTCTCCATCGACATCGGAGAGGTACAGCTGTCGGACGAGGGCGAGTACACCTGCTCCCTCTTCACCATGCCCGTCCGCACCGCCCGAGCTACAGTCACCGTGCTAGGTGGGTCACACACACACACACACACACACACACACACACACACACACACACACACACACACACACACACACACACACACACACACACACACACACACACACACACACACACGCATATTCTAACACACTGTGCATATTGGGGGGCAATCTGTCATCTCGATGTTGCCAAAAACAGGATGCAACTTTCCCAGACCTTGAAATAAACCTGTGACTGTTTGTACCCGACTGTCAGGCAGATTAGCATATTCACTTTTTTAAGGGCAGGTGAAAAACAACAACAATAAAATAATTGCTCATTGTAATATAATAAAGAGTAAAACCCTATTAGTCTATAGGAACCTTTTTACCTTGTGTCTTTTCTTGAAGGAGGATTCCTCTGTCTGAGGCACATACTAAGGTTTATTCAGATTTGATTCTTAAGCGTGTGGTATAGTGGGTTGAGCGTTGGTGTTCGGATCAGGGGGTCACAGGTTCAAACCCCACTGCAGTCAGCATGTCGTTGTGTCCCTGAGACACTTCACCCCAAATTGCTCCTGTGGGGATTGCCCACAATACTGAGTATGTTAGTTGCTTTGGATAAAAGCGTCTAACAAGTGACATGTAATGTTAAGCTTTTCTAAAAAGAAAAATGGTTCTCTGTTCTCACTCAGGTCTAATAACGCAAAAATCCTTATCTTTCTTGTGTTCACACTCTCCTTTAAAACTGATTGACAGGTGATAAATCAGCTTGACTGCCATCTGTCTTCATTACTCAACCAAACCTGTGGGATTGTGACAAATATGAACTCCCAAAGTTCTCGCAATTTCTTTTCATGTTCTCCTCATTTTCTTACAATGATCTCACAACAATGTCTTCTTTCGGACTACACAAGCAGGAAATGTAGTCCCCTTCAAATGACAAACAGAGTTTAACTTATAGAGTTGCGGAAAAAGTGGCTCAAATTCACCTTGATGCACCGCTGTGGCGCTGTGCTAGCCTGACCTCCCCTGCAGAGTTTACCCCGGCGCAGAGCAGAATGAAGTTTGACCCTGTGGATGTCCACATGCGAGCAGAGGCTGCCTGTTGGCATGAAGCAAAGAACTGCGGCAGTAAAGTGTTTCACTTCCATAAAGTTAGAGGACTTATGAAAGACGGATTATAAAGAAATGTCTGCAATCAGTTCAGAGAAGGCAGAGATTTCGTGACTTCACTTTTCTGTACGGGTAAAAGCTGCAAAAACACTGGATCATTCCTATAATGGCATTCTTTTTAGATTCTGCCCTTTTCATGTCAAATAATTTGATCTTAATGTATACAATAGAGTTTCCCTTTTAAAGGTCACCTATTATGAAAAATCCACTTGTTCATGTCTCTTCCACATCAACATGTGCCCCCCCCCCCCTCTGTGGAAAGAGGTTCTGAAAGTTTCAGGAACAAAGATTCTCTCTCTTTTTGTCCTGATCCATTTATATAAAAACCTGTCTGAAAATGAGCTGATCAGATTTTGGCCACTTTATGATGTCATAACGATTTTTTGGCTTGTGTAACCATTAGCCAATCAGCAACCAAGGTAACCCCCCCCCCACCTTATCACCTGAATCTCCTCCTAGAGCACCATTGTGTTCTTTTTAACCAAATATCTCTCAGAGGGGCGTGGGGAGGGGCTCCTTATTTTCATCGAAAGTAACAGACAGAGAATCAGCACTTTTGAAACAGGGCTGAAACAGAGGGGATTATGGGATGCTGCAATGATCTGTTTGGTGTTTGGAGCCAAACACTTCAGAGACATGTTTTGTATATATCTGAGACCTGTAATATATTGATGAAAAACAGTATGATAGGGGACCTTTAAGTACAAACTGCCATTCTGCAGTGTCACAGATCAATTGAAAGATAGGATTGTAAATACTCCATTTCTTTTGGGACGTTCATGTTACAGCCCTCCCTGTGATGCCTTCATCCAGTCTGATCCAGAGCCGTGCTTTCAGCGTTAACCTTTGTGTAAGGTTACGACCTCAAATAACTCTTGTGTGCAGATAAAACGGCTCCACTAATCTTCTTTGAGATGGATGTTATTACCTATACGTAACGCTACCCTGCGGCCTGCAATAAATTGTGTTCATGCTGTCAGCTGTGGGCCGAGTGGGTCTGTTTATTGATTGGTTATTGGGCGAATCAGCTTTGGACATCCACGAATAGTCTTTCAAGTATTGATTTGTATTAGTCGAGTTGTTATTTCTCCTCATTCTGGACACATTTCATGGTTTTACTTGTAGCTGAGAACAAAGCACTGTGCTTGGCAGAACTGTAATGCAGCAACAAACACAGAGAGGCTCACTGTATACATGGGAAGAGACAGCTGGGCTGATATTCCTGGGAGGTTGTGTCGGGCAAATTTATGGCCAATATTTCATAGCATCCAATGCCAATTTCAAACTGCTGCGCGGTGAAATTGAATCACATTTGTGCTGATCATGAACAATCCAGGTTTATTCAACAAATGAGCTCTCACCGCTTAATTTTGTATCATTTACAGAAATAATGCATTTTGTATGTTCTATGATATTGATAGTTTCTAAGGAGGATCAATTATTGCTATTTCCTCTCTGCTTTTCTAATTCAATGCACCATCATTTGCCAACTTATTCTCAGATAAAAACGCAGCTGCAGAGGGTTTCTGCCTCATTCTCTCGGAGAAGCACTAAGTGGAAACAAGAGCTGCTAACATTGAGATATTCAGGGCGGGGCTTTCTGATAACAACGACTGTTCTGTTGCCGAAAGCCCACATGGTTGCTCCTCATATTTGGGGTTTTGTCAGTCCAGAGCATCTATGAATACATCAATTTGATGATATTGACTCAAATAGGTTGGCAGTGCTGTAAAGTATATTAAAAATAATTTACTATGGTTGCTCTGGACAACAGCACGAATTGCCTGCAATGTTAATGTGATGTGTGTGTAACAGGGGGAGGGGAATGTGTGTGTCGAAGCAAGGGCAAATACAGGGCCTATTTATCTCTTTAAATTCAAATTAACATGAGAATCAGTCCTCCTCCATATTTCTTCCAATTGGGCGGTAATTGTGAGCATTTTTTATTCACTGTAATTGACGGCTGTGACACTGTATTTTCCGTTCGATAAATATTTCATGACCCCAGAGAGGGAGCCAAGCCATTAACAATTGATGGTAAAATGTCTAAAAAACACATGGACCCTATGGGAAAATCAGTCAAAGACAAGGAGTTTATGCACATCAGCGTTCATGAGTGTGTGTTTTATTCTTGTAATGACATATGCTGTGTTTTGACAGACACAAACACACTTGAGCGCATAACTGCTAAGTCCAGTCAGTTTGAAAGGCCTGTGTGTGTGTGAGAGTAAAGTGTGTGTCATGCCTGTGTGCTCTCTCCTGAGCTAAGCAGAGAATAATTTATAACGGCTTTATTCTCTTTTATTCTCCTCGTAGAGGGAAGGGTCTCGACAGGGCTTCTCCAGCCAATTCTGTATGAGCAGTATTATTCCCTCATTAATATTCAATGCTACTTTACTGCCAGAGAGCTTCCGCACACAGTGCACTACATCAAAAACTGCTACATTAAAAATTGACCACATTTTTATTTTTTTGATCTATACCTTGGTCCGTGCACGGTGCTTTATATTGAAACATCTGTCTGTTTGCTGGGAAATAATACTGACACCATGCAATATGACTCTATGACTCTATCTATCTATCCATCTATCTGTCTATCCATCTATCTATCTATCTATCTATCTATCTATCTATCTATCCATCTATCCATCCATCTATCTATCTATCTATCTATCTATCTATCTATCTATCTATCTATCTATCTATCCATCTATCCATCCATCTATCTATCTATCTATAACTATCTATCTATCTATCTTAGTCCGGCAGTGGCTCAGTCAGTAGGGGCTTGGACTGGGAGCCGTAGGGTCGCTGGTTCAAGTCCCCGACCAGACCTAAATATGGAGTGTGGACTTCTACTTGGAGAGGTCCCAGTTCACCTCCTGCCCTGCCGTGGTGCCCTTGAGCAAGGCACCGGACACCCCCCTTCCCCCCCACTCCCATTGCTCCCCGGGCGCTGTACAATAGCTGCCCACTGCTCCTAGTACTAGACTCCTTGTACTAGGATGGGTTAAAAGCAGAGGCCAAATTTCACTGTGTGTGCTGTGTGCTCTGCATGTGTGACCATTAAAGAGGGTTTCATCCCTCCCTATTCGATTCTATCTATCTATCTATATATAACTATCTATCTATCCATATATCCATCCATCTATCTATCTATTTATCCATCCTTCATTCCATCTTTCCTTCCCCTTCCTAACTTCCTTCTTTCCTTCCTTTCTTTAATCCTTCCTTCCTTCTTTCCTTCCTTCTATTCATCCATACATCCATCCTTTCATCCCTCCTTCCTTCCACCATCAATCCTTCCTTCCATCCTTCCTCCCTCCCTCCCTATCTTCCTCCTTCATATCTTATCTATCCATCTATCTATCTATCTATCTATCTATATACTGTATCTATATATCCATGTATCCATCCATCTGCTCCCTAATAACTTGTAATATTATGGAAATGTCTTGAATTTTCTGGCCTGAAAAAAATGTCACACATTTTCATAATTGGTACAAAATCTTGTCAATTGAAATGACAATATATCATTTCCCCCTCCTGGGATCTCCAGCTCTACTTTTCCGTCTATCTCTCCTCTTCTTCTCTTTCTCTCTCTGTCCACCCCCTCTCTTTCTCTCCTCCCTAAATGGCGCTATAAACAGCAAACCAAGTGTTTTTTTTTAAACAGAATGACAGTTAACTCCGCCAACACTTGGAGAAAAGTGCTGCTCACTACGGCTCCAGATGGTATATGGCAAGCAAAGTTTATTTCTCTCCTCTCTCGCCTTCGACCATGATGGTGAGGAGTGGATTCTGAAATATTTGGCGGGGTGCAGTCGTAGATTCCTTCCCCTGCTAAACAACAACTTGTGCTCCATGTTAAAATAGTAATTAAGCAAAAATGTGTCTCCTTTTAACCGGCTGCGGAGGAATCTGGAGGACAACCGTGGGAGATGAAGATGTATCATGACATTTTGGTTTGGCTCGAGGCTTCAAAACTGTTTTGTTTTTTTGAATCTGACCTTTGGCTCACTTCATCCCTCTTTCCTTCCCAGTTTCTTTTTTGAAACTATCACACAAGGCACCACTGCCTCCCCCTCGAAAACCATTAAGTCTGACTGAGTCATTAAAACTCCCATCTTGGCTTTTAAGTAATGAATTCTGGGTGTCGACTCGTATTTAATAATCCCTGTAAAATCTAATTTACTTGACATTTTGAACTGATCTGAAGTACTTAGAATGAACCGTCACACAATGCTATTTACCAGACTCACTTTCATTGTAGAAATGCCAAGGCTGTCAAAGTAAATGTGGAACTCATGCTGCTGGTTTTAAAGGGGTAGCAGAATGTCCCACATGAATTCAATGTTCATCTCAGTAGGATAACGTTGGGATATGGTACTTGATTTATGTCAGAAGTACTGCTGTAATGTGAAAGTTAATGAATGATCGTATAACTTAATTTTCGCCTCTTTATTCAGCTTCTGTAGGGGTTTCAAGTCTTACTAAAAATGCGGTCGTCTTGAGACTCATACACTGCACTTAAAATCTGTATTTTGTACCGTGCATTCATTAAGAAGATGTCGACAGAGTAAGAGTGTGGAATTCCCCTGTGAATATGTATTACTACAAGCATTTTGCAGTGATCACAATTTCAAAACCCCAACCACTTCACAGTGTTAATCCTCGGTCTTGTTAAGCAATAAAAAGGCCCATATTTTTCCATCCAACTGGTGTTGCACCTATCCAATCCACCACATTGTTATTTGGTCTGATACTGACCTTATTACAGGAAATAACCAATAACACATAAATATAGTGTCTTTGTTCATTATAGTCAGCCATTACCACCAACAGAGTTTTAGTGGCAAAGGTCCTCATTTGTATTAAAACGTGATGGTATTGGCCTTTTTCTCTTTATTGTCCAAGTCCATTAAACTCAATGTCAACAACTGATATAGAGCTTTTAATGTGGTTCTTTTGCCTTCATGGTGACTTGTTTTTTAAATTGCTGTCAAAATCTGTTCAAAATGACCATTGACAAATAATTCACGACTGGTTTCTAAACGGCCTTCACTCAGTTTAAGTGTGTCCTATTGTCCTGTGGAATGATATCATCTTTCATTGAGTTTGAGTTTGTTGGTCGCAAGAAAAACGAAACTTTTAAATAAAAGAGTGCTGACCTATGAATAAAACTTATTAGGGAATAAAGGAAAAAAAACTCAAATCAAAGTAAAAGAAGGCGTGTCCTTCTTGTCCAATGTTGTGAGACACTACTGCATTGATTTGTAGTCACTTTGTCACATGGAAGCTGTTGTGAAAAAAACATGAACTGTAAACAAAGTAGTGCTTAATTTACAATGCGCTGCAGTTTCAAACATTATGCAAATAAAAAAACACAAATGTGACAAAACACATGCAAATAAAAAAACACAAATGTGACAAAACACATGCAAATAAAGAAACATCTTTACCAACATGACCCTCATACGCAGCGATTAGAAAACATTCACCAACTTGAAGAAACATGTGCAGCATTAACTAAAAGCACTGCAAAAACAAAATGCTGCAAATGCAAAAGCGCAGCAAGAAGCTCAGACGGAAACGGGGACACTAAAAAAGTGACGCACACAGCTGGGACCAGAGCGCTGTTCAAGGACTATAAAGCTGGCCAACCTAACAGTTCATGTGGTACTGTAACATCATTAAGATACATCCGCCTTTTCTTCTCAGACAAAACAGCCTTTCTTTGCACAGTCTTAAGTGGCTGCTTGCCATCAAACATAAAACACATTATAATACATTGATAAACACTGATGGTGGAGACAGTAGGTCTGATTATTCTGCAAAGACATCGGGAACAGGAGCTTTACAGTCATTTCAGCTGCTGTGCAATGACTGAACACTTTTTGGGGCACATCAGTACAAGCCTGCATCATTATATTCCTCAGAGCTTCAGAGTTTCAGAATTGACCTAATAAATCCAAGCTGAGATATTGAAGATGCTGTATCAAATGTTGCTGTTGATATTCATTTCCCCCCTAAAATCCACACATAGTTGCAAAAAAACATGCAGTATTTGTTAGCTCAGCCCTTGGCCTTTCTTTTTTTCTCCAGCTCCAAGGTGAGCCCTGCAGCATGAAAGTGTCCTCTCCTTCTCTTTACACTAACTCTAACTCTTTCTGGCTCTTTCTCTCTTTAGGTGTGCCCGGCAAACCTCAGATCTCGGGCTTTGAGAATGCAGTGCCGGAGGGGGGCACAGTCACCCTGACCTGCACCAGTACAGGCAGCAAACCCGCCGCCCGTTTGCGCTGGTACCGAGGAGACCAGGAGCTGGAAGGTGAGAGACAGAAATAGTGTGTGGACGCTGTGTGTGTGTGAGAAAATGTGTGTTGTTGCACTCTGGTTTGGATCTGTGTGTGTGTGGTTAGGAAGCGCAAGGGTGTGGTCAGGGTTGAGAGATGTAATCCGTTACACTTACATTTGAACAAATCAGTAACCTAATATAAGTATCAGGATATGAAAGTAATGTATCCTGATTACTTTCTGCTACTTTTTGGTTATCTCAATATCAAATGAATCCAAATATATAAGAGAGAAAATAAATAACAATAATATGTTTTCTGTTTAAGGGTATTATGTAAAGCAAAAAAAACACATGATCTTAGACAAGAAGAAAGGTATATGAAGATATTTTGTATGAAAATGGGTCATCCTAAATTATAGTCAAGGCACATATAGTATCATTCACAAATGCTGTATTCGTTTGAAACATTTATTAAAAGCAAACACTTCTTTTGTTCAATAAATCAGGTGTCCTCCTACTGCATTTGAAAATAAATAGTAAAAAAATACAATACATTTATATGTATTTTTAAAAGTATCGTACGGTTGTAATCCTCCTAGTAATCCCCAGTTTGGAAAAATGTACCAGTAATCTGATTACAAATATTTGTATGTTACTGTTATCGAATACCTTCCCTTTGTATCCTGATTACATGATCCCGTTACATGTAATCCGTTACTCCCGCAGCCTGGTGTGGTTCTGTGACTGTGTGTGGGACAGAGGGTGTGGGACAGAGGGTGTGGGACAGAGTGTGTGAGGGAGGATCTGTAGGAATGTGAAGATGTGGTTTGTGTACAAGTGTGTGTGTGTGTTTCCCTCTGTGCTTACAGAAAGTGTGTGTGTGATCCTGCAGTAATCAGCATGTACGCGGATTTTGCAAGTGTGTATGTTTACACAAGCTGGAATTTGTGCGCATATGTCTGAACATTTGTGTGTGCTTTTAGAGGAAAGTAGCTTTTGTGTGTGTGTGTGTGTGTGTGTGTGATCATGCTGTTGTGTCCTTGCCACGTTGCCTGCTGTCTCTCTGTGTGTCCTAAACCTGTGCCCGCATATGTGTGTGTGTGTGCAAGTGTGAGAGAGCATGCTGCTTGTGCGTGTGTGAGTGCAGAAAGATGCTGTGAGTGTGTTAGTGCCCTTCTCTCCCAACATCCCTGATCCTGTGAATATGCATGCATGTGTTTGGTGTTATTGTGTTGTGTGTGTGTGTGTGTGTGTTATCCGTTGAGCTGCAACATATCGTCTTCTGGTTGTGACACCACGGAGAGCGAGAGATAGCGTGGGTCGGATCTAGCCGGGGATAACGACAGAATCCGGCAATGAAAGGCAGGGCGGAGGAGAGGATGAAGGGATGAGGCGAGCAAAGAAACAGAGATAGAGAGAGCTTTGCATGAGGTCAGACCCACTGGTTTTGTGTTACAGATAAACGGGAGAATAGAGCAGGGAAGAGAAAGGCAGAGGGAGCGCTGCGAGGATGTCATGAGAAGACAAATTAGCCGGCTTCTTTCTTACAGATAAACTGAAAATCAAGGAGCCGATTGGCAGCCTCTGAGTCATTGGCAGCGGCGGCGACTTACGGCCTTGTTTCCCGTAAATCCCCCCCCCTGCCTGTTGTTGCTTCATCACTCCAGATTCTTCTGTTTTGATTTACCGAGCAGAACAAACATGTTGCAAGTGTTGTTTCTGATGCCCTTTTGCTCCTCCTACCATCTGCCGGTATAATGAACTCTATAAGCCGTAAGATTTGTTAGCATTGGAAGAACAGCGCCCCCTGGTCCACCGTTAAACCCTCCGGCAGATGTCCCGCTTCATCTTTGTAAACTGCAGTGCTCAGACTGGTTAGAGCTTATTTGCAATGGCTTTCTCTAGAGTAATTATACTATTATAATGTGATGATATAATATGATAATGATTTATTGATGTGAAAATGGTACACTCTACAAGGCTTTGTAATGCAAAAAGGCCCTTCTTGTGTTCTGATGCCTTGGCAGTGTTAGTGTTTGCTGTAATTATGGATTGAAATGAATCATAAGAATGGACTAAGGCTACAAAGAAAAGGAGGGATGGGATAACTGCCCGTCGGAGGACAGATTATCTTTTTTCTTTGTGACAGCTGAACTAAAAACGGGAGGCAGAGGGAAAGAGGAGTCTGGAGATTGTTGCTTTTTTTAGATTGGAAATAAAATGTGTATTTCCATTTTACCTGTAATGGAAGCGATGCAGATCGTTTTATTCACCCAGGTTTTGAGGTACTCGTCTCTTGAGATTTCTTCAGACGATTCAATATAATGGGGTTGAAATGCTATTTTGTTTGTGTTGCCCAAATTATTGAAAAGTTGTATTAAAAAAAACACAGCAGTAACATGTTTTTTCTTAGAAAACAACGTTTTGATTACTCTTGAAGAACTCAGTGTGAGCAGTTTTCGTAAGAATTACCGCAGAATTATGTTTATGTTGAACAAGCTGTTGATCTTATGTCTGATAGAGACATCATTCCTGGGGAGAGGACTATTTCTTCAGCAGAGGTAGTTCGTACCCATACCTTAAAGGGGTACTGCCAAGACCCCAGGAAGTCATCATGGTGTATGATCGAATGTTCTTAGTGGCCAAATGGCTGTAATACAACTTCAGTGTCAGTCACGCGATACGGCTGGGCCTAAAAATACTTGGGAAAAGACGTATTTAAATCAGCTTAGAATTGGTTAAGGTAAATCAACTCCACAATACACTTGAATAGCCCTCATTTATAACATAAGGACCTAGAAATACAGTATGCGCTAAAAGCTGAATCCAGAGTTATTTTCAATCCTCCATTCATTTGAATGAGCCGAGACCGGACGTGACAGAACGTATCGGAGGCGGGGCTTAAGGAAAATGCCCCAGATAACAGGTATTTTTTTAATTGAGAGTCAAGATATGTTGGCTTAATACGCCACTGAGTAACTTCAATAGGAATGGACTTGTATCTAATTATCTTTATACATCCATGGGTTGACCAGAACATTAATATTGTGGCTCCATAAAGTTAAGGGACTCACAAGAGACTGACTTGAATTATAATTGGTAAATCTGAAGAATCAAAGGCCCTGACTTTTAGTATGACTCAAACTTTAAAACACTTAATACATACGTCTAAAACTTCTCCCTGCTCGTGTACAAAGCTCAATTTCTCCGAAGCTCCGTACTTAGCTAACGCAATGTTTCTGTCAGAAAGTTTTCAAGGCCAAGTTGAGATACATTGTTTACTTTGAGTCTGGAGAAATGCCCTTAAGAGTCACAGGCGGAGTAGCTCTCTGCGTGACAGTTTGCCTCTTTAACAGTAGTTTATATAAACACCATAAACACGATCTCTCCCGTCGCCATGCAAGAATACTGCATAAATAAATAACTTTAAACATGTTGGCATAAAGTCTAAAAAAGCACAGTCGTTGAATGTGATCCAGGGCTTCTGAATCAACGGTCTTGTGTCTGTGGGACTGGGTTTGCATCCAAAATAACACGGACACTGGGTCTGTTTTTGTCAAATTGGTGAGCCGACCCTCTAGCGAGAAACAGAGAGGCCGACAGAGAGGCCGACAGAGAGGCCGACAGAGAGGCCGACAGAGAGGCCGACAGAGAGCGATTTGAAGGAGATCAACTGGATGTGAATGATTGGTGTGTTCAGGCCTCGCCCAGCCGTCCTGACACCACACAACACCCATCAGTCATTGTTGGAACCACACACACACACACACACACACACACACACACACACACACACACACACACACACACACACACACACACACACACACACACACACACACACACACACACACACACACACACACACACACACACACACCCTCAGTTTAACACACAAACACTGCTAATGGACAGATGATAATCACACACACCCTGTCACACAGCGCTCTTCTCCGGTTTGATAGCAGAAGAGCACTACAGGTCAGCGTGCTATTATTACAGCTTCATGTAGCTGTAGTCTATGCGTGTGTGTATGATTTGTGTGTGTGTGTGTGTGTGTATATGTGCGTTGGAAATATGAGCTCATAGACTGCTGCTCACCACTGCTTCTCTGACAGCTTCACTGACAATAAAAAGAAAAGGGAATGAGGGATGAGAGTGTGTGTGTGTGTGTGTGTGTGTGTGTGTGTGAGTGTGTGTGTGTGTGTGTGGTGTGTGTGTGTGTGAGTGTGTGAGAGAGAGTGTGTGAGAGAGAGAGAGTGTGAGAGAGAGAGAGAGAGAGAGAGAGAGAGAGAGAGAGAGAGAGAGAGAGAGAGAGAGAGAGATGCCTTGTATCAAGTAAGTGACAGTGAAGGACTGCAGAGAAAACAGAGAACAGAGAGGGAGCGAGTGAATGAGCTGGTGTGTGTGTGTGGATGTGTGTGTTAGTATGTGTGTGTGGATGTGTGTGTTAGTATGTGTGTGTGGATGTGTGTGTTAGTATGTGTGTGTGGATGTGTGTGTTAGTATGTGTGTGTGGATGTGTGTGTTAGTATGTGTGTGTGGATGTGTGTGTTAGTATGTGTGTGTGGATGTGTGTGTTAGTATGTGTGTGTGGATGTGTGTGTTAGTATGTGTGTGTCTGCATAAAAATAGACTGAGCGACTGCGAGGATACTGAGAGACTGATAGAAGCTGTAAAGAGAGAGACTGCTGGAGAAAGAGAGAGCAGAAGGGGGAATTAAGAAAACGAGTCTGGCTTTGCGGCTGAGCGGGTGCACAAACGGGGGGGGGAGAGGATGAAGCACATGGGGGGGCAGTTTTAAAGAAGAGGGGGACTGGAGAGAGGGCAGAAAAAAGAGGGAAAGCTGACGAAATGGAGAGAGAAATCCAGAAAGAGGATTTAGATAGAGAAGGGGGAGACGAGGGAGAGCAGAGAGAGCGGGAAAGGGAGTGGTAATTGAGAAGAATGAAAGGCTAAGAGCTTTGAAGACTGTATTAGTTGTACTGTGTGAAAGGCCCATGGATCATTTAGTGACATCGATGTATTGGATT